TCTAGTGTAGGAATGAACTAGGCCGTTAATGATGCATATCTCCTTTGATGAAGGTGTTTTACAAGCACTTCTTCATCCAGAGACATGAGAAAGAAGTATGATTGCAGTGCTAGTTTTCTTGTTTCTCTTGTTCTTCCCATTTGTCCCCTAATCACTTTAGAAGCAAGCTGAAAACTATGGATTCTACACAGTGAGCTCTTTGTGAAAAGTGGCAGCATTTTGGCCAATTGAGAAAGAGGAGGATTGAAAAGTCAGCTGGCATCCCAATTGTTTCTCCCAGTTAGAAAAACACTGTTCCTTTAATAAGGTTGTAAAGGAGAGCTTGTTCCTAACAGTGAGGATCAGAGCTTGTACAAGAACTCCCACCAATTGAGACTTTTCATTCTGTTTTATCAGAGTGCATATATGTCCTATTTCGGAAGTAAACAAAATATTTACAAAAAGAAGGTCAATCGTATCCTAAGTATTTAATGTTAAACTTGGCTATCCTGTTCCATTTTATTTATTTGTTTGTATTGGTTTGTTCTGAGTTTGAACATGACATTTGTTGAGGTGGAAAGCAGAAGCTTCTCTAGTTACAGGAAGAAATAGCTACAGATGATGATAAGTTTTGCTACCAGGAGGAAAAAAAGCTAGTTTATTCACACACTTCATCCAAAGAATTTAGTTATTTGAGAGGCTTGGGAACATGCTGATCCCGGATTGGTGGCCATCTCGCAATAGGATGCACGAGGGACTTTTTAGCAAAGTCTCAACATGCGCGACTGATCCAGTTTGGCTGCTTATCACCATCATTTTATACAGAATTGGCAGATTCCAGTTTGAGCCGCCATGCTTTGGTAAAATACGGAAGGAATGTGAAACGCAGTTCAGGCATTTACTAGGCTTGCAGGAAGCCTTTGTTTTTAGAAAACCCAAAGAGATTTAAAACTAATGGAATGTGCTAAAATGCAACACACTGTTTTTTTGACCTAGTACTAAAAGATAGAGGCATTCCTGTGATTGAAAACTAATGTCCTGTTACTACATTGATGTTTAATGGGTCTCTATGTTTGTATAGTATTAATAGGGGTTCAAGTGAACATGAGAATACAGGTTGAGTCCTATTATCAGCACTCAAAGGGTCTCACCTGGCTGCTGGCTGCTGACTTAGGACCTCTATAAATCTCTGAATGTGTTGTGGGCAGAAGAACCCACAACAGTTCAGGGCTGAGGTCTGAGTGCCATGGAGGACCCTAGATCAGAGAAAGAAAATTAATAAAGCAGGAAGTTGAACAGTTAGATTTTTTACTGTGATCAAGGCACCCTTTCTCAGTCAGGAACCAAAAGACTGTGCCTGCCATGGAAGACTGCTTGTTAATTTCAGTCCCACCCTCCTACTGGTATTGTGGTCACTAACTTCCTCAAAACAGGTTTGTGTCACTGGGACCACTGTGCCAACCCTGGTTGGAATACACTGAGCAGCATTAATTTGATGAAATTGGGGCAAAAGGTTTTAGGTTTAACTACCAACCGAATGAATTTTTTTGGCTTAATGTTGACATAAACACCTTCCAGAAATCCGGCTACGCCTGTTTTGTATAGCCTGGGAGGAGGGGAGGGTTTGCCTATTTTCAGGACACATAAATCCAACTCTTCAGTGATCCACAGGAAAGTTACTGAACACAGCCACCCATTGTTTGAGCTCACATGTTACAAATCTAGGCTGGCATTTGAAAGGGCCGTGGCCTTTTTTTTTTTTTTTTTTTTTTTTTTTTTTTTGGTATGAAATTGCCTTTCTCCATTCCAGAAGTAAGCTGCGGAAACTCTAATCTTAACTTTGTGTGGTGGTGTTCTTTTTGAGCCAGCGTCACTTGTCAGGAAGACCTTAGTATAAAAAGCCTCAGTGTCCCCAGTAGTGTGAGGATTATTTTCATAGCATTCCTTTTTCTTGGTGTCACCTGTAAAATTGGGATTTTCATGATCTTAACCAATATTAGACCCTTTGTTAAGATGGGTGGATATCTTCATTTTTTCCTTTAATGAGAGATTAGAAGTTTCCTCAGAATTGAAAATTGTGGATGATGATGCTTATTTGCAGAGGATTGAACTAAATTCAGTAGAATCTTGTGTCTAATGTGAAGGCAGGGAAAGTGTGGATGACAAATTGCAGGGGGGAGAGTATTGTTCTTTAATGGATTTCTCATTGCTAGTCTTCACCACTGACTTGTTAGGAAAGCATACTTTTCCACTGCCAGGTACCCAGTGCAGAGGCTCAATGAAGGATCAGTTTGGGAAGAGCATGCCTTTCATTTATTAGCAAGCATAGCTGAGTTAGGACAAAACTCGTTGGTTTGGAAAGGGGTGAAAGCCTTAAATGAACAACCTAGCTAATGGTGAATGAACTAGGTCGTTAACATGCATACTTTTAATTTCCTTTGGCTAAAGGTAAGCCATACTTCTTCATCCAGAGACATGAGAAAGAAGTATGATTGCAGTGCTAGTTTTCTTGTTTCTTGTTTCTTTCCTATTTGTCCCTAATCACTTTGTAGCAAGCTAGAAAACTATGGATTCTACACAGCGCAGCTCTTTGTGAAAGTGGTGCATTTTGGCCACTGGAGAAAGAGGAGATTGAAAAGTCAGCTGGCATCCGTCTGTTTCTTGCTCCACAGAAAACACTGTTCCTTTAATAAGGTTGCAAAAGAAGCTGATGTGAGGAGCTTGTCTCCTAACAGTGAGGATCAGAGCTTTGTACAAGAACTCCCACGAATTGAGACTTTTCATTCTGTTTTATCAGAGTGCATATATGTCCTATTTCGGGAAAAGTAAAACAGTCATTTACAAAAGAAGGTCAATCTGTATCCTAAGCATTTTAATAAAAAGTTAAACTTATTATCCTGTTCCATTTTATTTATTTGTTTGTATTGGTTTGTTCTGAGTTTGAACATGACATTTGTTGGAGGTGGGAAAGCAGAAGTTCTTTTCCTAGTTACAGGAAGAAATAGTTACAGATGATACGAAAGACAAGTTTTGCTACCAGGAGGAAAAAAAAGCTAGGCCTATTCACACACTTCATCCAAAGAATTTAGTTATCGTCTGAGAGGCTTGGAACATGTGCTGATCCCGGGATTGGTGGCCATCTCGGCAATAGGATGCACGTAGTGGACTTTTTAGCAAAGTCTCATATTAACATGCTAGCAAGGACTGGATCCAGTTTGGCTGCTTATCACTCATCATTTTATACAGAATTGGAGAGATTCAGCTGAGCGCTACGTTTGGTAAAATAGCGGAAGGAATGAAACGTGTGCCTGTGCATTTACTAGGCTTGCAGGAAGCCTTGTTTTTAGAAAACCCAAAAGAGATTTTAAAACTAATGGGACAAATGGAATGGGAAGCAAAATGCAACACACTGTTTTTGACCTAGTACTAAAAGTATTAGAGGCATCTTGTGATTGAAACTAATGTCCGTGTTACTACATTGATGCCACGGGGTCTCTATGTTTGTATGTATTGTTTGTGGGGTTCAAGTGGAACATGAGAATTACAGGCTGAGTCCATGAGCCCAGCACTCAAAGGGTCTCACCTTGGCTGTTGGCTGTTGACTTAGGACTCTATACCCTAATGTGCTGTAAGCAGAAGAACCTGACGCACAACAGTTCAGGCTGGAGGTCTGAGTGTCATTAAGGGAGAATCCCTAGACTCTAGAGAGAAAGAAAATTACTAGGAAGTTGGAACAGTTAGATTTTACTGTGATCAAGGCACCTTCTGTGTCAGGGAACCAAAAGACCGTGCCTGCTATGGAAGACTGCTTGCTAATTTCAGTCCCACCTCCTACTATAATGGGTCATCGTTTAACTTCCTCAAACAGGTTTGTGTCACTGGGACCATTGCAAGCGCTAACCCTTGGGCTGGGAATACACTGAGCAGCATTAATTTTATTCAGAAATTGGGGCAAAAAGGTTTTATAGTTTAACTACCAACTGAATAATTTTTGTTAATGCTGACATAAATACCTTCTGAAATCTGGGCTGCTGCCTGTTTTTGTATAGCCTGGGGGGGAGGGGGAGGGGAGGTTGCTATTTTGTGACACATAAAATTCAACTTTCAGTGACCATGAGGAAAGTTTACTGAACACAGCCACCCATTGTTTGAGCTCTCACATGTTACAAATCTAGTTGGGTATTTGAAAGGGAACGTGTGGCCTGCAAAACCTGAACTATTGACACTCCAGCCTTTTACAGAACAAGTGTCTGGTCCCTGACCTAGATGAACGCTAGGTGGTGGTGATAAATGTTATGTAAAATGTGCATACTGCACAGTTAGGGTTGTAAAATTAAAGTGTGACTTCGGTTACTCTTCATAATAGTTTTAAAGGGCAATTTTATTTTGCGAAACCCGTTTTCGTAAGTTTTGTCCCGAGCCTTCGGCATCAAAAGGCCCTAGGTGTAGTCCTGTCAGCTGCATGCCATCTAGTGGATCGCTGTAGGACTTACTTCCAAAATTTCAAATCACTGAAATTGGTCAAGGAGTCAAGGATTTCCTTGCCCTTATTACCCCGGGGGTCGGAAGCCGAGCAGATACTCAGGTCCTGTCTTCCGGGCAAATCTAGGCATGTCAGCCCTTATTTCCATTCCTTTTCCTGCAGCCCAACGAACAGAGAAGGGATCCCACCTTGCCCAAGCCCCGTCTCCCTGCAAAACCACACGCCAGTCACTCTCCCCACGCTCACCTTCCAGGACAGCTTCTCCCGCTACGTCGCGCAGGTGGCCCGAACCCATGAGGGCGGGGAAAGGGATGGGGTCAGTCTGGGCAGCCAATCAGGGCTCGGCCCCAAGCCCAGCCAATCGGGCCCGACAAATTGGGGCCTAGCCAATCAGGCCCGACAAGGAAGAACTGAGTCAGTGTTTGCGCCTCTCCCTTCCAGCTTTGGGTGGCGCCGCGGGGGATCAGGGGTCCCGACCGGGCTCCTCGCTCACTTCCCTCGTTCCCCTGGAAACCCCGTGTGCACAGTCCTAGAGGACATGGCGCGGCAGTGGGGGCCGTCCATGAGGGCGGCCGAGCGGGCGGGCTGCGTGGTGAGCGCTTCCCGGGCCGGGCAGCCCGAGGCCGGCTCGTGGAGCTGCAGCGGGGTGATCCTGAGCCGCTGCCCGGACCTGGTGCTGTGCCACGGGGGCATTTTCACCCCCTTCCTGCGGGCCGGGAGCGGGGCGCTGAGCGCGGCCGGCGCCGCCTTCCTGCCCGGCGACAGTTGCGGTGACGACCTGCGCCTGCACGTGCAGCGGGGTCCAGCAGCCTCGAGCCCCTCAGGCCGCGCAGAGCGGGGCCGCCCGGGGCTGTGCACGCCCCAGTGCGCGGGCCCAGAGTCAGGCCCTCAGGGCCGACCCCGCGGGCGGCCCCTGCAGCCCCCGCGGCCCGCCGAGCTGCTGCTGCTGCTGAGCTGCCCGGCCTTCCGGGCCCACTTCGCTCGCCTCTTCGGGGGCGAGGCGGCGGAGCAGTGGCGCTTCGCGAGCGCGGCGCCGGAGGAAGAGGTGACGGAGGACGAGGAGGAGGATCAGCTGAGAGCGCTGGGCTGGTTCGCGCTGCTGCGCGTGCGGCCCGACTCCGAGGAGGAGGAGGAAGAGGAGGAGGAGGAGCGCGGGCCGGCAGTGGCCGTGGCGCCT